CCTACCTTCGCTCTTATTTTGAAGCCACGGAGTGTCACAACACCAACTAATGTGGTGCCTAGCACCTAGCGCGGCTTCCTTCTTTGAGGGTTTCAAAGGAGGCAACAATGATAAAGATGAAGGGGTTGGGAGGTGGAGACGATGTGACTACATATTGTCCTCTTCTAGCAGGGTGATGATTAATGGGGAAGAAATAAGGAAAGAGGATGTTGCTATTGTGGACTCCACACAACAGTGGAATAATGCATGTGAACATCACAGGTTGTGAGAAATTGACATGTAACGTCCAAGCACTTGGCAATTCTTTTTTTGTCTTTAGGCGTGTGACATCCAAACACAAACTAGCAATTTTGTTTTCTTTGGGGTCTTTTCTCATGTGCCAAGTCCCAAAACCCTACATTCTAGTTTGCTCCAATTTAAACTATCTTAAGTCTTGACCAAGTTTATTAAAGAGTTAAATGCATCAACGGCCCCTGAACTTGTCAATGGATGCCACTTAGATCTACAAACTTTAAAAATTTATTTCTGGATCCACTTGTTAAGTGGTGCACCGCACATCCCTAAACTTGTAAAATGGTGCACCGCTTAACAAATTTAGGGACCTAGAAATATGTTTTCAAAGTTCATGTACCTAAATGGCACCCCTTAACAAGTTCAGGGGCTGCTCATGCATTCAACTCTTTATTAAAATACCAATATTTTGTATCACCGATGAATATTATTATATTGACCATAGAATATTCATGTATATGAATTTGTTGTCATAAATGTCAATAGTCTTCTTTGTAAATAAATCTATCTAAAACTTAAGATAGTTTGATTTGGACAAGACTAACTATAATAAAAAGTAGTGTTGTGTTTTTCTGCCTTCTTTCGTTTGGATAAACACTAATGGGTACAACCATCAGGTACACGTATAAGAGGAGATGCATTCTGCAAAATTTGATTATTCGTCTGCCTTGTATCTCCATCAATTCGTATGCCCACGTGCTTTCATCTGTCCCCATGCTTCGTCCACTGCTCCCGCTCCCGCTCCCTTTCAGTTATTTTGTCGTTATCTCCAATATATATTTCCATCTCCAAAACACCTCAAGGTTTGTTTTTATACACACGAATCTATCCTAATCATCATAGATTACATGTGGATTGAAGTGCACTGGTATGCGGTGAAATAAGATGACAACATGCTCTCCTTGCATGTTGATGGCATGTTCCTTGAGCTCCCACTAACCACCCTCCGCTACGGCCTACGGCCACCATGGGCTGCATTGCCAGTGCACCAGGCTCGTGCCACTGTGTGTGCTGAGGAGGTAGAAGAATCACCATGAGACGAGATCTATCGAGCTAAGGAGCATGACACCAAGGTAGTATATGACTAACTCGAGGCCTATTAGATCCACTAGGGCTAATAGTTAGCATCTAAAATTAGTATTAATGGATCCAAATAGTCATATTAATAGACCAACTAACTATTAGCTAGAGGCCTAACCACCTATTGATAGGTGTCGGTCTACTAATAGACCAACTAATAACTATTCATTTCTGCCGCCTCTAGCACTTGATAAACTTTGAGAATGCATTTATATTGGCTTCACCCTGCTGTAATTGTGCCCATTGACATAGCCAGTACGTTACTTTGAATATAACCCGCAAAAAAGTTTTTGTGCCGACACTTGTCAAAAACTTCATCTTTTGTAAGCCATATTTTCCAGCAAATGACTGCACATCCTTTCAACAAGAAGGATTGATTTGAAACCCCCCTTGTTTGTACCACTTGTAAAAAGTCTTTTATATCTTTTGGGGGTTTCAATCCTAGTACAAAGTGAACCGATCTCCAGAGAAATTTAGCATATAAGCAATCAATGAAGAGGTGTTCAATTGTTTCATTCTTAGAGCAGAAATCAAACATTTTTCTCCCATTCTAATTTCTTCTTGCTAAGTTATTTTTGGTTAGAATAACACCTCATTTTAGGAACCACAAAAAAAATAATTTTAAGTGGTATCTTTATCCGCCAAACTTTATAGGAAACCTTTATTCCTGTGTCAATATCTATACATGGAGTTTACGGTAAAGGAACCATTATTTTTTAGCGAGTAACGCCAAACTTTATAGGAAACCTTTATTCCTGTGTCAATATCTATACATGGAGTTTACTATAAAGGAACCATTATTTTTTAGCAAGTAAAAAGATAACTCTTCCTACATGTAAATCAATGTTCACAATTCTTGCTACTAGGTGTTGTCACTCTAACAATTTGTTATCTACTAATGCTCTTCTAAAGAAAACATTAAGTGGTATAGTGCTAAGAATTGTTGCAACAATAGCTTGTTTGTTCCCTACTATATTATACAAGGTAGGACATTGGAGTTTAAGCATAACCATTCCTAACTAGGCATCCTCCTAGAACTTGATTTGGGTTCCCTCTCCTAGTCGAAACACGCCTAATTTTAAGAACTGGTCCTTCATCTCCATCAAGCTCATTAATTCAAAAATGGGAATCTCTGGCATTTTTTGTGAGCTGAGATAGGGTTTTGTCTTCAATATACTTACTTCTAAGTACTTGTTTCCACAAGTGTTTTATCTGGATGTTGCGTATGTTTGCAACGTTTGTCAAGTATTTTTTGCAAGTGTTTCAGACGTATGTTGCAAATGTTTCAACTGTTTCTGACGTATGTTGCATGTGTTTTATCTGGATGTTGCAAAAGTAGATCGAAATATTGCACATGTTGCGAGCAGATGCAGGAAGCGGGTGCAAGCGGAGGTAGTCCCGCGGCCGTAGGCGGTCCCCACGTGCGCGTAGGAAGCGAGGCAGGTGAGGGCGGTCCCCACGGAGCAGCATGGGTGAGCAGGCAGCAACCGCGGGCATCTGTCCGAACATCCGGCTCTTGGAGTGGCCAGAATTTAGCATCTCGTTGGATGCGATAGGAACATATATTGGGTCAAAAAGACACTTTATTTATTTGTAGCAAAAAAAAAAAGATGAATGTATCCCCGGTAGTCTTCACTGGGCCGATGAAGTAGGGAGTACTTATTAATTAACGCTCATCAATCTGGCCCAATCCAGTTGGAGCACAACTTGTAATTCGGCCCAAAAGCTCAACTAGCACGTGTTGCTAGGGAAAAGAAAACTGCCGACTGCCGTCGTCTCCATGGCTCGATCTGCTCCTCTTTCCGCGAGGTAGCCGTTGTCGAAGCTCGGCCGGCCGTCGTGCTCGTGCAAGCTCAGTTCCATATATGCATGTTTCTATCCATCCATGTCGTAGCTTCTGTTGTGAAAATACCAGGGGCGACGACGCGACGTATCAACGATTCAACAAACGCACAGCAATACAAACGCACAAGGCGTTGCACTTGACTGGAACGGCTGGTTCAAGCCACAAATCAATTTGCTCTTGGATCACATAATGGGAGAGTTGTCTGTAAGCCATGTTTCAAGGTTCCGCACTAGACCTGTTTACATGCATCCAGCAGGACGAGGAACCATTAATTACACAATTACCTTGAACATTTCACTCAGCTCAGTCAGAGCGCAAGCACCGTATCGCTGACACTACTAGAGAACAGACTTTAGAACGATATTCCAATTTGGCATTAGTCTCGGCATTTTTTGCCCCCGGGACTAAAGGTTCCTTTACTCCCGGTTGGAACCACCAACCGGGGCTAAAAGTCCTCCAACCTTTAGTCCCGGTTGGTAACACTATTACAGCAGCTGCCCTCAAAGGACTTGGTGTCAGGCAGTGTGCATCCCACTTTAAAACCCAGAAGTCGTTATCACAGCACTGCATATCACAACACCTAAACCAAACACCATGGCCAAAGAAATCCGATACATTTACAAAACCCAATACGTTTTTTGTGAAAGAATGAACAGCCATTTAACCAAACATCTTCAGCAACACATCTGGACAACGAGAAATTTTGGATTTATCTGGAATGAAAATTCAGAATACCTTTTACGTTAGACATGTGCTGTCCAAAATGAGGTGACATCTGAACATTTTCTCCACTGCAACAAAGCTAGGAGAAGTCGATTGCCAGAATATCAAACCTCGCGAAATATAAGGGCCCGTTCCTTAGTGCAGGTTCAACATAGCCAGCAACTATGTGCTATTAGGTTTCTGATACATCAGTAGGAAATGAACAAGTACGAGGTAGATTTAGCTTCAGCAAGCTATTAAGCAAGAAGTTAGCCTGAACTGCATAGCGTGGTACCACGCTGCCTACCTGATATAAATGCTGTAAATGCTTGTGCTGCTTTAGTTGATCGAGCTTAACCTTGACTTAATTAAGTGATAGTAGGTCCATTCTTATGCATAGGTTTCCATCCGCTGAACTGAAACCCTACACATATATCAAAGGCATGCCATAAGTTGAGGAGAATCAAGAAATACATGAGAAACACATAGAAATGGTAACAATATTTAGACAGGAATACTTCAGCACATAAGAAAATAACCAAACCACACAATAAGACAATTTGTCTCAAGGCTTCACAGAAATTTATTTAGGCTAATAGGTCATCACCGTTTAAATGAATATGTTACGCAATAATTGTATTAGTATTATATATTCACAAGTGGATGCTGTTATATATTTTAAAATATCCACAGAAATTAATGGTTGTGCTGTTCTGAAGTGTCAGAAAATTTCCAAGTGTTACCAATTTCCAAAAAAAAATGCAGGAATAAATGTTGGCAAAAAAGATAGCACCCAGTAAGCAACAGAAATAAAATCAATGCTACATTATCATTTTAAGGACAATTTTGTATTCTGGTATGACACTATTCATCTATTACATACATAAAAAATGAAATGATATGACTGAACTTATACTGCAGTACAACGTTCTAAGCTGGTTATTATGATAAGACAAGGAAACAAAACGTACTAAATGATTGTCACGAAGCAGAAGTAAAACGATTAACAAGAATAATAAACAAGCATTTGTGATTCATTCATAAGCAATAAGCAAGATGACACTATGGTTCAGAACTAATACTACAAATCCAGACACTTCCATTCATATAATTGGAACCATACTGTAAAAATAAGGAAAATGTGACAGTAATGTCAGTTAACTTACATATGTTAAGTTTCTCACTAAGAAACGTCAAAACATTGCTAATTCTCTCGTCATACACTTCACATTTGACTTCAAGTGTCTTAAAGTGTCGTGATATTTCAGCTGATATCTCCATTGGTTTGCAGCTTAGTTTAATCTCCACTTTATGTTTAGGTCCCTGTAGTAAATGTAAGGATTTTGCCAAGATCAATCCACAAACTATAATAATAATGTGCTCTAGTTTTTACAATGCAGCAGTTGCATTTGAAATTTTATACCTTTGAATATAGTTGAAGAGTAAGTTTCTCTAACACCGGTGAAAGTTTGAGGAGGCAAGCTAGGGCGCTGAAATCAGCAGGCTGGCACCAGTATTCATCAACAAGCAAAGACTTCAACTTGTTGAAACTAGAGCAAAATCTCAAGTCCCTTCTGAAAATAAACTAGAAAAGCAATGAAACATTATCAATAAAACATAAATGTAAGCATGAACAATATGACTCAAGTGTGTAAGGATACCATTTCGAGGTAACAAGATATTAGCACCAAGTTCCGAACTTCTGATAAACCTTGCAAGAGAATACTTTGGTTGTTGTCGTCGCCTTCATCATCATCAGAATCAGAATTAAAATTGCAATCAAAATCGGTGTCAATTTTAACATATGGTACTAGTAAGGATGGCATCCTCTCAAGCGATGGAATCCTGCCGTCACTGACTTCAAGCCATAGTGAAACAAGATTCGGGGCACAGATAGGCAGGCGGTCGTCATCACCAAAATCACCAATCTCAATGGTTAGACGCTTTAGGGATTGTGACGAGATGAGTAAGGCATACCCTAGGTAGCAGTCAACAATCTCAAGGTCTTCCAAAACTGGGCAGCAGGAGAAGTCAAGAAATCTGTCATCCATACCGAAGTAGATTCCATTAAGCTCTAGCTTTTTCAGGTATTGGGAGATGAAGAAAGGATGGCCATCGAGAGAACCAATGCCCGGATGATTGCCCAAACAGATGAGCTGGAGCACCTGGACTTTGCACTGGAGAGCTATACGGATCCAAAGAACCATGCGACTCATGTCGAACTCATCATACTTGCCGAGACGGAACTCGCACGTATCGAGCGGCGTCCCTCCGCAGATTCGCAGGCGTAGCAGTTGGTCCACGAAATCCTGAATCTCCTTCATGGACTTTGGTTCGTTCATTCCGCCGCACACGAAGCGCAGGACAGTGGTGGACTTCCACATGTGGCGCCAACGCTTGGCGAGCACACATGTCCGCACGGCGTCCTGCGCCGGTAGGAAGGAGAGCATGTGCTGCAGCACGCCGTCCGGGAGGCTACCGATGTGGTCGCCGCCGCCGACTGCAGCAGCGGCAAACGCGTTCTTGCGCGCATTTTTCCGAGGAGGCATCCTGCCTGTCGTCGGATCGAGGAATCGAGGATGCCACCAGGGCACCAGGCTGTGTCTGTGTGCGACGAAAAGAAACAATCAAAGACAAGAGGTTAGCTAAGTTGAAACAGCGAGTAGCAGATCGATCCATGGCGGAAGTTGAGGAGATCGATTTGCAACTGCATCAATCACCTGAGACTGAGAAAGAGTGAGAGGCGGCGGCCGCCGCGCAAGACGATTCGATTTCTCTGAGTTTGGGAGTATATGTATTAGGGTATTCTCGTACGCCTAGCTTCTTTGGCTGCAATGCATGAATGCAGTGCAGAACCCCAAGCGTCAGGAGTAGTGATGGCCTGGAAAGACAAATAAAATCTGCTGCGACTTCCCGGCTCCCAACTACCAACGAGTCCAAGGGATTTTAACACACGACCGCTTCGGTTCCTAAGCTCTTTTGAATGCAGCTCGAGTGCTTCGTGTTCGTGAATACATATGGGTGTTTTTCAATCAAGGAGATCTTTTGATCCAACGGACGACGCCACAGCTTCTTTCATGCGAGACCCTATTAGGGCAGCTTCAACAATTGGCTTTTAAGAGCAAGTAAATAGGTAAGCTGCCTAAATGCTGAGTTGGAGGAGGGAGAATACGAGAGAGTAGAATGGTTGTAAGCTTACAGTCGGCTTAGACATAGAAATAAAAAAAAATTATGTGAGAGACAAGTGAGCCATATATTAATAGTGATGAGCTAACTACTATACGAGTGGGCTGAGAGCAGGCTACAAAGAAATCTTACAGCCAGCAATCGGCTGTATATTACACTAGTGCAGGACTGAACATCAGTCCCGGTTGAAAAACCCCCTTAAGTCCCGGTTTCTCAACCGGGATTGTAAATCCAGGACTAAAAGCACCTCCTTTAGTCCCGGTTGCTATTACCAACCGAAACTAAATGGCCCCCAAACATTGCACCGGGGCTAGCATGTTTAGTCCCGGTTGGTGTTTTCAACCGGTACTAAAGGTTCTTTTTTCCACTTTTTCCCTTTTCAGTTTATGGTTTCTTTTCAATTCAATTCTTTTTTGTTTCGATTAGCTTTTCGTATACGAATTCTACGCTGCTAATATATGTCCATATATATATAGGTACGTATAAGGTTCCGTTCGAGCATTATACATAAATAACACACTAAAATGTATGAAACTATATAAATACAAGAGGTTGTACATGCATGGAATATGCACATAATAAAGTCACAAAAGACTTGTACTCATGTCCTTGGGATTTCTTTCAACTCTAATCTTTCGTCGTTTGGCTACTAGGTATGAATTCTTTAGGATCATAGTAGTATGCGCCCTTAGGATCTATGACCTGCTCCATAAGAAATCCTGACAATACTTCTTGAATTGCTTTGATCTGCTCACATCATAGGACCTTTCGCTTCCTCCATTCAATCTTCAATTTGAATCAAAGCAAAAGTATGAATATATATATATATATATATGATTATATATATCAACACAATGATAATAAATAAATTATGTATATTTTTATGTACTTCGAGGATCTCTTCACTTGTTCTCCTTGAGTACTCCATGAGGAACTCGCAGATGTAGTATCCACATAAGTTGTTCCCCGATCCCTGCTACAGACACCACTTTACGAGAAAAAGATTCATCATCAACCAATAAAGCATGTTAATAATGAATTAAACTAAATAAAGATGCGGTGACCTAGCTAGTACTTACTGGGTATTAGACTATATGCAGAGGCACTTCCCAATTACCATAATGGTGTTTCTCAGCGAACGTTTTCCAAGCACTGCTCAACAAAATAAATAAATAAATGAAGTCATATCATTAAAATGGCATAAGAGAGTATACAGTGTGTGCGAGACCGAAATTACCACCGGAGTATATTGAGGATTTCTTGGTAATCTGCTCGGGGTCTTGTCACTAAGTCAAAGATTTTTACATGACTCCTGCTCATATCGATGACCAGTAGTATCCAGTGAAAGCTACATGTTTATACGCAATCATAACTCATTAACTAAAGTCAACATGGAGTAAGCAAAATAAAATGGGCATAAGACATTCACACTCACTTGAAGCCATATGGGAAGAGTATCAGTGTCTTGTTAGCTTTCTTATCTAAGAACCTGAACCGAAGCTTCTCCACTTGAGGTCGTCATCTATCATATGGAGTAACCATGTCCTTGAATACGCAATTCGGATCAATGAAACCAACATCAGTCATCTCTTTTTTTCTTTAGTTTCATCATCTCATATCTGCATGTATATAGTACAAAAGAAGGTATATAATGTGAGGATAACTATATATGAACAACGAACTAACATGCAAGTTACTTCAATTCAATTGTAGAAAGAATCACTTACAGACACCAACAGCTAACGAGAGATTTGTCGAGAGCGTCTTGGTTTAATAGTTGGTGTAATTCATTGAACTCAATATGTACAATGTCATAGCCCAAGTAATGCTCTGGTCTCACTTTGGCAACAAGCCATGCTGCTTCGTCTTTCTTGGTCACTTTTAAGTACCACTTGTTCAACAAGAACATCTATGTACCCAGTGATGATTAGTACTTAGGGTTGACAAGACTCTGGCCATACACATAGGTCCGGTAAATATCATAGTCGCCTGTTAATATCGATGCTCTCCCCATGAGTTGTTTAGCTGTGAGATCTGTGGTGGCCATGAAGTCTTCTAGTGCCTCCTTATTTATTGGACCGCCTTGTACGTTTGTGAAATCACCCTCAATAACTAGTGGGTCGATAGATTGCTTAGATTGTTGCTCGAGCTATGCAACATCTTTCCCTGCTCTCTTCACTTTCAGCGACGCCTTATATGACTTATCAAGAGAGCGTTCATAGTCCGATAATGGCGAGGGCTTACGTGTATCACGCTGCTTTTTCTCGCGCTCATTGATTTTTTTTCCTTAGTTCTCGTTGAGCTATGTAGTGCGGCTTTGGCGGGTTTTTCTAAAGTTCCAACCTCCTTGCTTTTGATTCTTTTAAACTTTTCCGCCAGTTATCCAAATCTTTTTGTGGCGTCGCTTTTGATTCCTCTTCAGACTTCTTGTAAGGTAGCATCTCCGGAGGGGGCTTTGTTTTATGATGGCTGGCTTTCTTCTTCACCGAGGGCAGGGCCTCTTCTGGCTCTACGGCATGGGAGGCGGAGGAGGGGGAGACCGCCTTGGAGGAGATGGAGATGGAGATGCAGCCATGCCATGGAACGCATCATCATCGTCTAGAGCACTCTGATGATCATCATGGGATGGAAATGGACTCAGGTTGGGAGACCTGTGAATACAAAAATGATTGGGAGTAAATGGTTATTACGCGAGAAGTCAATAATTGAGAATGATTAATTATTGAAAAACGGTTTCGTTCACTTTCATCCGCACCTATCATGAGGTAGTTGAGGAGGGGGCGACGGTACCCTAGCCACCGCATCAGGAATAATGATGTAGCACTTGTACCATAAAACGAATGAATGCTCTGCTTGTCCTAGGGTCTTCTCCCCATCACCTCCAGGAAAGTCAAGAGGCACTTCCCTATAGTCTTTGATAACTCTATCCACCAAGACGCTATAAAAGCAGGTGGAATTGGATTCCCATGGCTTGTTGGTGTCTTCCCAGGGACCACAGGAGAAACAATATCGTGTGCCACCAAGACTGTGGCACCGGTATTCCCCAAGGGAATGTGCAGCTCACATGGCATCAAAGGCATGATGATGTCATCCATGGGGAAGTGCTGCAATGCGTCATCTTGATTTGGGAGCTCAGTGGAAGTGCAGCTGCTTCTTAGCTAAGGAGGGCTAACATTGACTGCATGCTCTGATGTTGATGACTGCCTCTGGCTACTCAATTGTAGTGCCACTTGTTGTTTGATTTTCTCTTGCATTCTCGTATCCATGTTTTGTTCTCACTCCTACGATTTAAGCACCGCCTCCTCTAACCTGCGGTTCTGCTCTGCCTCCTCATCCTTCCCCATTTCGCCACGAAATCAACCCTTTGCCTCGCATTCACCTAGGGTGTTCAGGAGTCTGGAGGGCGTATGTGAGCTCATCCTTCTCTCAATTGGGCACAAAGGCACCACTGGCAGAGGCATCTACAATATCGATAAGTCTTCGTGCTGTAGTTCTGATTTCCCCACCAATAATCGGCTCCCTGGTCTGTGGGTCCAGTGATCCCCATGCGCAAAAACCAATTCTTGGAGCGTTCGGGCCTGTCGAGTGAAAATGGATGGATCCCTTTGGAAGCAGGTCTTCTTCCATTCTTTGCCACTTTGGCATGGCACTCCTGTAGCCACCTGATCCTATTTTGTGATGGTACCGCTTCTGTCGTGCATTCTGTTGGTTCCTTCTCACCCATTCCTCGCCCTCTTCCGAGGTCTTGTACCTCACAAATTCAGGCCAGTCGTCCCTCAACTTTTTGTACGGGTTATTTTCACTAAAATCTAGAGTCAGATTCTTCTTGACAAATTCAGTGTACCGCTTCTTCTTCTAGATCTAGAATTGTGTGGCTATCTTCTTGAGAGCCTAACTTTTAACTAGATTTCTTAAATCTTCACCTGCTAGTAGAGTGAAATGTGTAGTGACTGAAGCCTAAAGAATGTTCTTTTTTCGCTCAGAGACAAAACTGATCAGAGGATCATCCTTCCTCTTTTTCCATTCACGGACGCTGATCGGGACCCTATCCCTAACAAGAACCCCACAGTGGTTTATGAACTTCTTTGCATTGTTTTTTCATAGGAACGGTTCGCCGATATTAGGATCGACTTCTGTGATTATGTAGTGGCCCTCCAACGGTTTTGTCGGGCCTCGTACACTTTTCGTCGACGTCGTCGATCCAGAAGGCTACGTACGTAGAAACATAAAGATTCAGTAATACATATATATACGAGTTAATGGAATTATGTTTAATTTCATATATATAAGAGATGCAAGATTATTAACAAATATACCTCGCCAGCATTTTCTTGCATAGGATTTTCTTGCATAAGAGGTTCTT